TTCAAGTTGAACTTGCATATGAGCAGTTGATGGTCTGTTCCACAATCAGCTCCTGGCCTTGTTTTGGCTGAAGATATTGAGCTTCTCTATCGCCCTTTCCACAGATGTAGTCCACCTGATTTCTGTGTGCTGTTTGGTGAAGTCCACATGTGTAGCCACAATTTATGCTGTTGAAAAAAAGTTGTTTGCAATGAATAAGTCATTGGTCTTGCAAAATTTTGTCATGTGATCTCTAGCATTATTTCTATCACCAAGACCGTATTTTCCAACTACTGGTGATTCTTTGTTTCCAAGTTTTGCATTCCAGTCACCAGCGATATTCAACACATCTTTATTGCACGTTTGGTCATTTTCAGACTGCAGAAGTTGGTAAAAGTTTTCAATTTCCTTATCTTTGACTTTGGTAGTTGGTGCATAAATTTGAATAATAGTAGTATTAACTGGTCTTCCTTGTAGGCATATGGATATTATCTTATCACTGACAGCATTGTAATTCAGAATAGATGTTGAAGCATTCTTTGTGACAATGAATGCGATGTCATTCCTCTTCAATTTGTCTTTCCAGCATAGTAGATCATATAGTTGGATTAAAAGGCCCAAACTAGTTCATTTTAGCTCACTGACATGTAGGATATAGATCTTTATGTGTTCCATTTCATTTTTGACAACTTCCTGTTTTCCTAATTTCATACTTTGTGCATTCCATATTCTGATTATTAATGGATATTTACAGCTGTTTCTTCTCATTTTGGGTCATGTGATATCAGCAAATGTATATCCTGAAAGCTTTGCTCCATCCACATCATTATGGTTGACTCTACTCTGTGGAAGTAGCTCTTCGCCAGTAGTGTTTTGAGTGCCTTCCCACCTGAGGGGCTCATCTTCCAGCACTATTTCGGACAGTCTCTGGGTTATTCATAAAATTTTCCAGTAATTTTTCAGACAACGTTTCACTGCTATTCATAAAGTTTTCACTGGCCAATTCTTTGAGAAGTAGATGGCCTCTTCTTTCATGCCTATCTTTGTCCGGAAGCTCTGCTGAAACCTATGCACCATGGGTAATCCTACTGGTATTTGATATACTGGTGGCTTACTTTCCAGCCTCATAGCAGTACGCAAGTCACCACAGTATGTTAAACTGACTGATGAGTGGTGGTGATTCCTTTATAGAAATCTTTT